TGTTGATTATATTACGTGCGAGATTTTTCTTTCCGTACTCACTGAAGTGTAATCCGTGTCGAGTAAACATTGCCCGCTTATGTTTCAAGTTAATATCAACTAAAGCTACAGAACTTGCTGCATATTGTTGAATTACATAACACAATTTTTGATTTAACTTATAAATATTGGTGTTTAAGGTAGGAACATCATAGCGATACGGGATTGTACAAAAAAGTAAATTAACATTTCGACAATGATTGATAATATTACGAATACAATTGGCCGTAGGATAAAGGCAATTATTATCTACGTCATTCGACCCCGCTAGGATGATTACAAAGTCATCTTTTGAATATGATTTTAATAACGAACATAAGTCTTCAGTTACTTACTTGATGTAACTTGGCGTTAGGTTTGAATATTGATTCAACATTAAATTGATTATTTAAGGAACTACTTTTCAACAGATTGGCAAGGTTTCTACCGTGGCTATCAGCCAAAAGTAAAATATTTTTCTTGGGTACCCTACGAGCGTCTTCGTCAGATTTATTCAATGTTGACTTCTTCTCCACGACCAACGTTTGTCTCGATCTTGATGATGGGATTTTAAACGCCCGCTTTGGTTTATCGTTCAGTGTTTGTACCGTAGAAGCAGTAGTAGAAGAAGAAGTAGACAGTGCGCTATCGATGTTTGCCTCAGCAAGTTCCTCAAACAGGGATTTATTCTGTACATCACGCATTGGTTCAATTCCTTCTTGGAGATCGTCAGTAGGAAATTCGTTAGAGTTCACAACTTCGGGCGACTGCTTATCACCAACTTTGCATTTTCCGCCTTTTGAAACTTGAACAGCTACCTCGTTAGTGATTAGTACTGTTTGTGTATAGTTCGAAACAGTTAAGAATGTATTTTGGGTGGCGACGTCCTTCTTAATATTACTAGTTTGAGTAGACCTAGTGGTGACCTCTGACTTATGGTTGGACTTTACGATATCAGTTTATCCCGAAGTTCACGATTTTCTCTATGTAAATTTTTTAAGTCCATTTTTAAATTGTAAACAAGAAGTGATAATTTCGAGTTTTCTTCGGAGAGTGAACTTTCCATCGTGGTGCTTTCATTGAGGTTGTCTTCAATTTGTTTTTTAAGAGAAAGGTTATGTTTTTTGAGTGACAAAATTTCAAGCTGAAGTTCATTAATTACAGCAATTGGATCCATGACTATGGTGATTTATTTAATGAAATTATTAAATTTTTAGACTTGCGATAGAACAGGAATTTCCTCAAGGTGAGATATAGAATATACAACTTCAACTTACATTATCAGTTCGATGCAATTCGACCAGTTTTAACGGATTTTGTACATAAAACTAACAGTTTTTTAAACGTTTGCTACACCCCCGGATAGATATATGTAAGCGTCACACCATACGGTGACTTGGAAAGGAATAAAAACAATATAACAATGCAATATTCGTCAGAATTTGCAGCACCAATTCAAACACACCGTCACTCGCTATGCATACCCGTTCTCCCTATTTTTCAGATCTACAAGTTGTCTTGTAATCCAGGGTTGTTTATTGGGTCTTTTACCGTTTTTAGCAATTCTAAGGGTTTTGAACGGAAAACATAGTTCAAAATAATATCTGAAAATTTCGAAAAAATAGTTAAAAGCTTCATTAGAATTTGTACATTGATAAACCTGATCCCAATTTTCTTGCACAAGATAGGATAAGAAATTGTTGAAACTTTGTCCTGAGAATAGTCTTCTTTTTCTATAGTCTGGAGTTATGTTTTCATTACAATTATTAAGGGTGTATATCGTCAGTGTTTGGCCATGATGATCAGACAGCGCCATACCTTAGCAGTTTGTTTTATAGAGACTCTTAAAAGTATTATACAAACAAGTATTCGATATTTCTATTCCTTTGGGCTGTCCCAAATTGAACTTGACGTCGGATTAGCGTAATTTTATCGCACAGAAAGCGACTCCAGTCGTTTTAACCTTTACCACATTTACATCGGCGAAGTTCCGTTAACCTGAGTCTGGTCGCATTAGGGCAATTTAGTTGGATAAAACCTTTCCTGCTGTAGTCCTTAAACCGGCTTAAACTATCGCATTTATTACCTAATCCAACTTAAGACTGAATTGGTTGGTTTCTGACGTAGAACCAACGTCCCCCGATTTACCAAAACTGTACCAAACCAATTTAGTCGGACGCCGACGTCAAACCGACGACGGTACCTGACCGAAACATACGTAGGCCTACTATAGAGGTCGAACCGACGTTGGTCCGTCTACACATCATAACCTTTACCTCTAAGTCAATTCACAGAAAATAAATCTCTTAAGCTCCTTTAACTGTTATCCGTACTATACCAATTGGAAATATCAACTTTTTCTTTAGTTGAATACATTGTACACGAACCGAAATTAGAATAGGGAAGCGATAATATTCAAATTAATTAATATGACAAGCAGATCCTCAATTCCTATAGGAAATCCCTGTGTCTACTTCTTCAGGAAAATCACTGTATGTGTGTTCACGGTGAGCACTAGTATGGGAACGGATGGTCCAAAAAATGTGGGACTGGCCTCCTGCAATGCCGTAAAACTTTTAATAATGGGACTATGTTTTCGATAATGTCCCAAGTAACATTTTACCGACTACCGACTAAATTCATACCAATCGCGACGTCGGAATAGTTACAATTACTTGTTGGGCCAAAGCAACAATATTCAAATTAATAATGAATATGACAGCCAGATCTTCATTTGTTAGTAGTTATTTTGGTTGCATAAAATTAGGCGTCTTTCAGGAGACTTTTTATCATGTAAAAGTAGACATAGGAATAGGAAATCACTATGTCTACTGCTACATGAATATCACTGTATATGTATATGACAACTAGCTTTTGTCCCCGCAACTTCGTACGTGCATAAACATTACCCTCAGTCTTAATTCGGGTTTTCCTCGTTCCCGTAGGAATTTCGGGAAGTGATTTCGGAGTATACCGTAACACCTTCCACGTTTTAAATGTAAAACGGTAAATTCCCGTTTTTCACGTTCCCGTAGGAATTTCGGGAAATCCTTTCTTATTGCTCCACTACAATCATATCATATCATATCATTTATTATTTGTCACAAAATACATTCTTATACATTGCGTATAAGAACAGAACGTACGTAACAATGTGCTGTGTACATATAAATATAAATATTTTACATAAATGATAATGTTAAGCTAAAGCACGATATAAGATAGAAGTAATATATTGTAACGTGATTTATAAATTCGGGTTCGATTTATATCAATATTTATTAAACAAAACTAAAACACTATAAAAACCGTACAATTTATATCGACTATTTATATCACACACTTCGCAATTTATATTTCCGCGCTCGATGTTTCATACGTACTCGATCTCGTTCGGTAGTAAAACTGACTGCGATGTTCGGTCCGCAACCATTTATACACGCAAGCAATGTAAGTCCAGAACACTCGCGTAATTACCGGAATATTCCTATACAAATCCCACTATCGCGCGCGTAGAAAATTCCAGAGGCCCAAAGGCGACGTCATGTCTGGAGCGTTTCCGTTACAATATTAAAACAATAAAATCAACTTTCGAGATATTCGTTTAAGTGGTAATATGACTGCTCCATCAAAAAGTTTTTGAGCGTTTCGAAAAGGAAGTAATTTGAAAATTTGGCACGCTTGGAATAACAAATTCTTTTGAAAGAGTGTGGTCCTATGTCTAGAAGGATACAATTGAGTTGCCCCCACAATACCCCCACAAAGATGGATATTTGCTGACGCTACAGAATGCGTATTGATACAATGCAGTACCACAGAGGAATCGCACCACAGGAAGCAGTTGAGCTAGTCGTATAACGCACCACACAACTCCAGGCATGGTAAGGGCCTTTAAGGGAATAACACGCCACTTCGCGCATAGGAGTTGAACAGTCACCACAGGAGTCGGTGCTGAGTAAGTACACCACAGCTCCGTATGCGTCCTTGGAGGCATCGCTAGAGCCATTTGGAGCCCTTGATAACCACGGCACTAGGTTGAAGTTTAGGTTGAAGAACTCACGCCGGAATTGACGCCATATCGTATGTATGTTACATGCAACGGATTCGTCTCATGCCATGATAATTTGTGTAGCCATAACTTTTGGAGAATGACCTTACCCATCATTGTGGATGGACTGCGAAGACCGAGTGGGTCAAATAGGCGGCCAATGTCTGATAGGATCTATCACTTAGTCACAGTTCGCGCCTCGGAATCCTGAATTATACTGAATTGCAGGGAGTCGCTTTGACAGTTCCAATAGAGTCCTAGGGCATGTGCTATGTCACCAAAGTCAACCCGCATCCCAAAGGATTCAACTCCAATGCTCTTTAACAAGTCAGGCGAGTTGGACATCCACGTGATATTGTTACTGTTATGGATAAAGATATATTTTAAGACAATATTTACTGCTTAAGTTTTCGTCATTCCACAGCAGACGGTGTAGATGGCGCTCGGTGGGAATTGGCCTATGACTACCCACCTCAATCTGGTTTTATGCACGATCGTGCCATCTGACGATAGGATGTATTGACTAACACACAAACACTTCCTGAAGAGTTCTGCACCAATTAACAAGTTGGTCTCGTCCGTGAGGTAGAACTTGGGTCCGCAAATTTGACACAAGCGAGTAGGTTGAACGCGTTGAACCTTGCGATTCGTGATTTTTGCAAATAAGAGGTTATACAGGCATAGGAAGAACTACTGCTGTCCCTGTAGTTATGTAATGTTTTTCAAAAGAAGATCATAACGTAAATAGAAAATAAGAGAGAAAATAACTAAAAGGGTCTTCGATTAAGCCCTTTTTTAAATTCATCCTTCACATCCAAATAAACAAACCTTACATGCTTTCTGAAAGATATTACAAATGCATGAGTTGGGTAGAGTATTAATAAAAACCGACTTCTTTGATATGTGTTAACGCAGTGAAATGAATTTTTAAGTAAATATTTAAAAAAAGTTTTATAAAATTATAAATAATTATGTACAAAGAACTATATCTACTCTTGATCTCTTACATTTACCAGGAATTCATCAATAAACTTAATAATAGGAACATTTACATGGGTGTTTACGTCCTTATGCCATAACAAATCTCCGTGTGTAAAGTTGCCATCCTTTATTACGTACACTGCATGTTTGGTCGCCTCCACAGGTAAGTTGCTGTGTAGAAACTCGACGTTCTAAAATTAATATTTTGTAATATTGGGATCTTGTTACGTAGACCCTACTTTTTTTGTACTAATCGCATCATTTTCCGCACGAAGAATGTAAGTGGGAATTCTTGCATTGCTCAGATCGACACCAATGTTGCTGTACTTGCTTTGATTTTCCTCATCGCTAGAACGGAATGAACGGAATTCACCACTGGCAAGAATTTGTGATAAATGTGTAACCACTTTTATAGACACCACATCAAAACTATTCACCAATATTAACGGCCAGAATTCCTGAAGTGAAAATAGAAATTTACGAAGGCAACATAAATTATTACCGGATCAATCTTGTCTAAACTAAAATCGTGGGTCAGTTGAGTTGCAACCTCACAAAGTCTCATTTGAAATGGAAACGGAAAGCACACGGAAGACCAATCGAAGTACCCAAATTTCTTGACATCCACGCTCCCTTTCGACCAAAACTTGACCACAGGCTACAACAATAATTATAACAAATTCTAAGTGTCATTTTGTGTTACCAAGATGTAGTTCCAATTAGATAAAATGTGTCTACTGGCAGATTTTAGTTCTTTCGGGTGTACGGTGGGGCCCAAAGCCACTAGTATCTGCATTTTGGCCTGCGCTACATTGGGAAAACGGGCACTGTACGCGTATGCAATCGTCGCACCAACAGAGTATCCAATGTAGATAATTTTGCGCTGAGTTTGTTCGTAAACCAGGTCTATTAGAGAGAGGACGTCACTGTAAGCGTATTCATCTAAGGAATAATCCCAAAATTTGTTGTCTAGCTTGGATAAGTAGGTGTGTCTTGAATATAGGGTTCCTCTAAGATTTCCTAACCAAACATCGTACCCGGCGTCTGCCAGCATGAACGGTAAAGATTTATTTCCTTGCATCAGGAAAGCTTTGCTGTTTTGAAATAATCCATGCTGAAGATATACGGGTTGAGGTGGTGTAAATCCATCACTTTTCTTGGAGAGAATTCTGTAGGCTTTGAGGATATAGTGATCTTCTGTTGCCACCTCGAGCGTCTCCACTTCGTAGCCATATCGACGGATAATTTCAGGCTAAATAAAGCGAAGTGAATTATTTATAGATGCAAGTTATAAAAAAGTACTGATAACCTACTTACAACGGTCAAGTCAATGTCTGGGTTATAGTAACACTTCGGATTCTTATCGAGATTTGTGTAGTAATCGTGTGCAGTTATGCACGAATTATTGTGAGTTTGCCAAAAATGGCGGGCGAATATGATCGTTAAAAATATGCACGTAATTATCCATACTACAATATCAGACTTGTGCATCATATTTTTATAGGTACAATAATTCTACTACCTACATTAAACTAAACAAAACAAATCCGGTCGCTAATGTGTTGATTATCTAATCCATTTTCATTATCAGTTGACGTGGGTTTTTTGTATTAGTCCGTTTCATTATCGAAGGTAAGTTAGTCGAATGACCAAATTGGATTGTAGAAAACAAAAACACTGATTAAACTCGTTTTTATTTTTTAAACGCCACGTACTATTTTACCTGTTTTTGAAAGGATTCTCTTCGTAATCGACGATTAAATACTGTATACCTACTGTATGCAATAGGCTATATTTTCAAACGCTTTGTATACTTAGTTGCACGACTGGCAACTATTTTAATTCTCTTCTCATTAATATGCAAATGTTGACTATCGTTTTCTCATTCAGAAAACAAACTATTATTATTACTATTATATTAATAGTACGTGAGAACGTGGCTGCAGTTAATTTTAATACAAGCTACTTAGACATCACAGTCTTTGATCTTTAAAGCTTTAACCATAATGAATAAATTAACAATTTGCTAATCCTGCAATGGGATAATTACTTACTTTTTGTCCACGATTGTACGTTATATTTCCAAGCAACCAACATTTACTTCTATTGTACGTAAAAATATTACAATTGCCCGGAAAGACGTTTCATTACACAATGTGTAATGATCTCACGCGTAAGTGGTTTTACGGTACCAGTTAAAAAAATCAGTGCTCACAAACTTTTTATAAAAATAAGACTGTTTTCCAAAAACACCTTGTATAATAAATTTGATTCGCCTTGGATGGAGGCTTGACGACAGCATTTTTAATGTTTTCTTATGTAATTATTAAAATTAACACTAAATGCAACTCATTAATCAGCTTGTTAAAATGGCAATCATCTAAACGACTCCATTAAGTTTACCTGTTCAGTATTATCCTTTACCGCGATAGTGTCCTAATTGAAATAGTTGTGGAAAGACTATTACTGTTAACGCATTAGCAGCAGTAATTGAAGAGTAATGAATATGTGGTTGCTCGTCTTTGTCACAGTTATATTTTTAATATGTACTGACTGCACAAGAAGAAATGTGTGTCCAACTTACTTGGATTATTTTACAATTAACACAAACGAAAAGTGCTGGTATGATGTTGCTGCTGATTCTGACGCGGTAAGTTTCCCCTAATTCCACCTCTGTATGTAACTGTCATTTTGTAGCCAACTATTATAAGAAGTCACGGATTTCCACTTGAGATTCATAGGGTACTGACACCCGATCAATACATTCTTACCATGTTTCGCATCCCCAATGCACACGGGAGGAAAGAGCCTATTTTTCTTCAGCATGGATTTTTCCTTTCAGGAGCTTGTTTTGTTGGACTAGGAAATCTTTCGTTAGGTTTGTAAATTGTACTACTAATATTCCCATTTTGAACTGGTTCCAGGATTGACTTTGGCCAATGAGGGTTACGATGTGTGGATTGGTAACTTTAGAGGGACGTCTTATTCCAATAAACACGCGATTTTAAAATCTGAAGATATACAGTATTGGAATTTTAAGTAAGAAATTGACTCGCTTAATTGATATTTTTCAAAGTTTCTTTTAGTAGCGACCACTTGGGCTTACACGATGTTCCTACAATGTTGAAATACATAGCAAGAAAGACGGGGCAGGCAGGGCGTATTATTTACATTGGTCACTCCTTAGGTACGACGACATTTTTGGAATATGGTTCACGATTTCCTGACCAAGTGAAAAATTTGGTAAAATTAGCGATACTAATGGCTCCAAACGGGGGAATGCGGAATACCAAGGCGTTCTTCTTCAGAATTGGCGTCTTATTTACCGACATGATAGTGAGAAGTCAAGCCTGCGATGGCCCTTACGTTAAAGCGCTACTTTTTTTTAGAGGCTAGTGACACACACGGAGATGACAAAGTTATTTACACCCAGAGGTATACTACAAGTAATTACAAAACTTTGCCGAGCATCCCCGACGCTTATGGAATATTGTATACGCGTGATAAACCTCACAACTTTGGGACCCCAGAAAGAGACTGACGCGGTTTGTAACTCGATCATAATTTTTTGTAATACAGTTTTTCCCGCAGAGCGTCGCGCCCATCGTGTTTAACCAATTTCCCGAGGCATCTTCGCTAAAAGTGTATCAACAAATCGCGGCTGAAACCGTCGACGATTTCCGCTCATACGACTACGGATCAAGAAACTTTTTTGTATACGGTCAATTATTGCCGCCGATTTACAATGTTTCCAAAATCGAGGTTCCTATTTATTTGATCTATTCAAAAAGAGATTGGTGTACCACGAGCAAGGTCTGTGCGTCAAAATGCGCGTGTACATTTTACTTTATCATTTTTACAGGACGCCGAAATACTGTTCGGTAGATTGCATCCACGGGCTAAAATTTACGGAAGATATGAACTATCTGATTTTAATCACAACGATTTCCTATACAGTAAACATGCCAAATCGGTTGTATACGATAAAATTTTAAATTTAATTGATTCTGCACGGACGCTGGAGCTAATAGGTTCAGATGTCAATGAAAAGTGAAGTGCGCGCGAACGAAACGCGTCAAAATGCGATACAAAATTGTAGGCAAGCATTCAGGTTTTTGAAAATAAGGAATTTTTGGAAGTTCAAGGTCTGGTTACTTGCCATGCTAATCGACTAAACGATGTAGTTTGTTTGTTTAATGGAGCATAAATGTAACGAATGGAAACAAGAGTTAAATATATATTACAGAAATACAGGTTTGAAATGTTCGTGTTTTTACCGTTTCCGTCGAAATTCCCCTCTCTTGGTGTAATACACGATGCCTATTCTTCTTTCCTCTCTGAGGACCATTAAGAGATCCGATGTTGATAAAATTGAGACAAAGTTAAAGCATTAGCATGGATACCAAAATTCCAAAGGGTATTTTCGCGTTTTTTGGCAGCCAGCTGACGGACTATATCTCGTAAAATTTGTAATCGACAAAATATTTCGAACGTCTCACTGAATTCCTTTAGAAACGACAAGTTGCAAGTCATTACCATTACCGGTGATTAACATTCCTCTGACATTTTGTGCTGCGAATGGCTTTCAAATTAAACATGCTGATGAAACTGAGACGTGAATTAGCCACCAACTGGAATCAAGACACGAAATTCTTCGACATAAGTGATGAAGAAGCGCATTCCATCTTCTCAATAATCTGGTAGAAGCAACATGAGAATGATTTATTTAATTTGCATGCCCTGAGAACATTGAGAAGTTCGTGGTATGTGATAGTTTCGTCTAGAATTTTGTTTGAAGCATCAAAGAACGTGGTTTTGTCAATTTCATACATGTTTTTATAAAAGTTTTCCCAGTCTGTTATTGATAATGTTGGTGACGTTACGTTGTCACGAAATGATCGCAGAGTTTTCCAAAAGTTTGCTTGATCATGCGAGTTTGACAATAGGGATACAATGTTTTTTTCATGGTTATTTTTTTGTTTTTGATAAATTTTTTATATTCCTTTTTGTTTGCTATAAAGCGCTCCAAGGATTCATTGTCAAAGTTAGAGTTTTTACAAGCTGGCAGACATCTTTTTACATTTTTTCGTGAATGGAAACATTCGCAATCAAACCAAGGTTTGTTATTTCGATTAATTGTTTTTCTAGTTGTTGCCATGCCCGCAGACACAGACGTACCATAAATGGTATTTATTAAATTTCGGTATGTATCCTCAACAGAGCTTATTCTACCTACATTTGTGGAAAATTGCATGTTAATTCTGTATGTACTACATAGAGATTCTTTCCAATTTAAAGTTTTTGTACCAGAATTGGAAGAACCAATGGGCGATGATTGCGGCGGAGTTAGATCAGAGATTAACGATAGGTGCAATGGGAAATGATCAGATATAAAGATATCATAAAGAATCTCTAGATTGTTAATAAAGGACAGATTGTTATTATCACACCATACAAGGTCATTGACACTTTTACCAATGTGGCTTAGAAACGTGTATTTTCCTTGATGATCAGAGTATGTACGACCATTTAATAAAGTCATCGAGTTGTTAGACATGAACTCCAGGAGTTGCCGCCCTCGGAAATTTACTGTGTTATCACAGCTAAGTCTTTCTACATGCAAATTCGTTTTCGTAAACAGTTCTTGATAACTGTTATCTAGTTCGCCTAATCGGGCATTAAAGTCGCCTCCATATATGTGAGCTATGCTGTGATAGTTTACTATAATTTGGTCTAGTACGATTTGATATGAGTCAAGAATGTGTACAATGTCGAGCGAAGGTTTGATGTAGAAAACACAGAGTACGAAAGAAAAATTGTGATATTGATATTGAAAAATGTTAACGATATTCATTGACTTAATTAAACGCAAAGCTTTACTGACCGACCACTATTGTATAAAAATTGTTCTTACATGTTCTGTTTTTGTTCCTTAACCGCGAGCACACTTATGTTTGACTGGTACTTCTTCTTTAACGCCCGTTTATTGCCTTTAAGGAGTAAAATTAACCCAAAACTGCAAAAAAATTTCACTTTTTTTTTATTTGTCATTCCACCAATCCTTGACTTACGACCGACAATGGGATGACCGCATTGGTGGTACCTTCTATAGAATCCATTTTCTGTATTTCAGAGTTCAGGGAGGGGGGCTCACAAAATAATAACTTTTCGGATCTTTATTGATACCAAAACAAGAATAGTAGACGATAATCAAATTACCTCCGGAATATAAAAAGAAGACGATCACGTAATCATGGACAAAATTTGGGAAAAAATCAAAAAGTGAGAAAATGAGTACAAGAAACATACGATAGAGGTCGCTACAAAGAAAACCAAAGACCCGGCACAGAACGTACAACGCAGGATTAATGATAAACGTGTATGGAACTACTGGGGGGTAAAATGGGAATAAAATAGATATAGGATAAAAAGGAAAGAATTTGTATCAAGCAAATGAAGGAGAATTTCGCTATAATTTACAAAACCCTAAATAACACGCCATAGGCATAAAAGCAAATTTCAAGCTAGAATAAAAACAAAAGAAAACTTCATGCATCGGCGCCAAAACTACAATAAGATGACTGGGATTAAAGAGGGAATTGGAATGTAACGAATTCGGTCCCGAAAATTTGCCCCAAAAACATTATTTCTCACGACACTCGTCTCCAGAACGTTCGCCCCTTGGATGATCCGCCCTGGAAAAATTCGCTCCCGACGTAATGGCTTCTAGAAGATTTGCCTTTGGGAAGTTTGCCGGGACACTTACGAAAAATTACGTCGCCACTACCTCTCGTACGGACGGGACGTGAAACTCAATTTTTATTCGGGCATTTTTTAAAATTTTAGTTCTCTGTATAAATCTTTCTAGGACGAATAAAATAAATCTTCCGAAGGCGAATTTATATATTCTGGATGGGCTTTCAAATATTTGAATTTGAGGCATTTTTACCATGATATTTTTAAAACATCTCCTGATTTTCGAATGACGAACTCTATTAATTTGTTTCTTTTTCCCAATTTTGAGAACAAATGGAGGAGGAAGGATTGGCTGTAACAACCAAAGGAGAGAAGGTGACAATTTATTTTAATGTTGGAAATGTTTGTTTTCGTATGTGTGTACAAAGCTCTGAGTGTCATTCAAGGCCAAAAGACAACGGTGTCGTATCAAGTGACGGAAAAGTGGCGGGTGCTGTCGATAAGGTACTTAATGGTGCTCAATTATTTTGTTAATTCCAATCTAAAATTTTCGAGTCTCGCACATATCTTTTAATAACCCGTGCACTAATTGCTATGAGGACCATTTAAATGTGGGAAACAATTTGAATGCACATTAAGTTTTCATTTTCATTTATTTTTGTATATTTTCCAACTTTTTGTAATGTAAACTTGTCAAAAGTTAATAAAAATTGCCTACAATCATATAGTAATTGTGTTGTTCCTCGCCTTATGACTAAAGTTTACAGCATCAATGTACCGTTTCCCGTAGTTGCTTGCATAAACATAAAGAAATTTAACTTAGTTTATATTGTCTTTAAAAAGTGTTTTATATTCATTACTGCACAAAGTGTGCGTAATTGGTGTTCCCACAAATGCTAAGTGCTACTTTTAACGTCACGTTTTAAACAGTTATGTGAAGAAGTAGGGCTTAAGGAGGTCATCTTCTAGCCACCAGCGGCAAGTATTGTATGGTCAAGTTCACGAACACCTGCATCACGTAAGAAAAGAAAGTTCAAGTGAAGTGTGATTATTATTGCAATTGGCGAAATTTGATGGATATTTAGAGAAAAAATATGAAGCAATTGTTAGGGATACTGTTTGTTGTTATCCCGTTCGTGTTACCGGCTAGGTATGTTCCTAAGTGGAAGAAGCAGGTATTTATTTCTAGTTCATTTTAAAAAGTTACTGAATATGTAAGATGTGCCGATGCATGATGACCGTGTACTTGCAGGCATGCGAAATACCGGCGTCTCAGAATGAGCATTCACATTACACTTGCGATGACGATGGGGAAGTAAGATGCCTACCGGGGTGGGCGGGAGATTTATGCGATGTGCCGAAATGTCGTCCTGGTTGCGATCCTTTGAATGGTTACTGCGATAACCCCGGAGAGTGTTTGTGCAAACTGGGATTCTATGGTGAAAAATGTAACAAATGTATTCCATTGCCGGGTTGTAGGAATGGATTTTGCAAAACTAGCTTTGAATGTAGTTGCCACAAGGGATGGGATGGGTTGTTCTGTTCCGATCGTAAGTCTGTTCGTCACGTAATTTATCGCAGACTAAAGCAGACTTTGTTAGCAATTTGTCGAGCCGAATGCCACCCGACTAGAGGATATTGTGATTACCCTGGCGAGTGTCGATGTCGACTGGGATGGGCTGGCAAGAATTGCAAAGACTGTCAAGTGTTACCTGGCTGTCAACATGGATACTGTACAAAACCGTTGGAATGCAAATGTTATCCTGGCTACACAGGGATACTTTGTCAAATACGTAAGATACCACAAGATATTTAGGCGATTACCACTTTTTTGCTGTTTCAGCTATTTGTGCATCAACTTGCGACAGGAAAAGAGGTTACTGCCGGAAACCGGGGGAATGTCGGTAAGTGTCATGTTCAAAAACAAATTTGTTTACTTAGCTCATCGACTTCTAGGTGTAAAGTAGGATGGTGGGGAAAGAACTGCGACAAATGTTACCCGTATCCAGGTTGTGTTAATGGTAGCTGTAACAGACCTTGGGAATGTAATTGTAAAGAAGGATGGGGAGGAATGCTATGTGACGAAGGTATATGATCGGTTCAACCGTAACCAATGTTTAGTTACCGTACGGTTTCGTCAACCCATAAGAGCACGAAATGTTATTGCACTCATTATCTGCTGTTAGGTATACGATATTCTGAAGTAACGTTTTCCTCTTTTAGAACTAAATTATTGTGAAAACAATCCAAAGACATGCCAAAACGGATCTAAATGTATATCACTGATTAAAAGCGAAGGAAATTACAAATGCCTTTGTCGAGAGGGAACAAGAGGTAGAAATTGCGAAATATCGGAAGTATCTACTAATTCAAGTACCGACTACATACAGGCAAATTCAACTGATTTACCATCGTCTACTGTTGAAACACCGCCAGCCATAAAGAACGAAACACATACTTAATTGTTGTACACCTTTATAATTTATTTATTTATTTATTTACTTATTACTGGAGTTGCCAATAAAATCAATCCGCGACATACATCTGGATTTTTACGAACTAAATCGTTTGAGCCATATAAAGATCAAATGTTGTTAATGTATGTGATTATTATTGCTTTCTCTTCATGTCTTTTTAATTTTATGTCTAGTGATGGGTCGTGACCCTAAAGTTGCGTAACTTGATCTATAATTTTCTCGTCGAATGAGGAGCATTTTGGTTTTCACGACCCACGAAGTTTTCCTACTGTTAATCAAATTAATTGGGTGTATTTTGTCATGTGGAGTCCCATAAGGTTTACTTTTAGGGTCACAAATTTACAAAGGTAACTGTTTCGCTTGAACCAAAACAGTTACCTTTGAGTATTTTCAATTGCAAAAGTAACAGAAATTTCTATGTATATATAATGTCCAACAGAGAGGTGGGATTTGGTTGAAATGACTTATATGCCTTCGTGTCCAGTAACAATACAAAATATTTTTGGATTAGTTGGTTATGTTGGATCTGGATTCTGGATTAAGATAGGAGGGTGGGCAGAGTCCCCCCTTTGACCCATACGAGCTCAAGGGTATTGCTGCTTGCTACGTGCTCTAGTGCATGGTGACATTCAGAAACCGACCTAGAGGTAATTTTATAGTGTTAGTCAGAGCAGCCCTGCTGTCACTAGAGATTCTGATAGTTTGGTCTTTATGTCCATGTGTTTTTGTTGCCCTTATATTGCACCACATTTAACCTACATAATACATTTTTGCTTAAAAGCATGTACAGTACCAAAAATTTGGAAAAATGCAAATGTTATACCACTACCGAAAGTAAGCAATCCTGAAAGTTATTCTCAATTGCGACCAATAAGCATTTTACCAATTCTTTCTAAAATTTTAGAGAAGATTATGGCATCTCAGATAAAATACCATCTGTCTGATAATGATATATTACCACAGTCACAATCTGGATTTAGAGAAAACCATACCTGCAGCACCGCGTTGTTGAATGTTACAGACGATATTTTTTCAGCCTTAGATCAGGGAAAACTTTCAGTGATGGTATCACTAGATTTTACTAAAGCGTTCGACTTAATAGATCACAATATATTGATAAGCATTTTACATTATTTTGGCTTTAGCAACAATGCGTGCGCTCTGATTAAGAACTATCTTACTGATCGGACGCAACAGGTAGTATTGAAAAATAATAAATGATTGTCAACATCTGTAGCAATGGGCGTTCCACAAGGGTCGGTGTTGGGACCTCTTTTTTTCATTATATACACTGCCACCCTCCCCAATTGCCTGAAATATGCAACGTGCTATCAATATGCTGATGATCGCAGTTACAATATAATTTCTTTAGTAAAGATTTAGACCTTGCGAATGAGAGAATCAGTAGTGACCTCAACGACTTATTACAATAGGCGAAACAACTTAACTTAAAAGTAAACCCATTAAAATCCTCTGTAATAATCTTTGGAGGAGCAAAAGAAAGAGAGGCCTGGACAGATGATATAATTATAAAAGTGGGCGAAGAAATTCTACCAATTAAAGATGATGTGAAAGTTCTTGAGTTAGAAATTGATTCCAAGTTGAAATTTAAATCACTTGTTTCAAATAGGATAAGAAAAGCGTACTCAAATTTAAAATTAATTTTTAATCAACGTTCTATACTTAATCAACAAATGAAAATTTCGCTTTGTAACTCACTTGTCCTGTCACAGTTTGTGTATTGTGCTAATGTGTACGGACCATGTTTGGATTATGATTCCAATAGAATCCAAAAAATTCAAAATTCCTGTTTGAGACTAATTTATGGAATAAGAAAGCATCATCATCACACAAATTGAAAGGAACCGGATGGCTAAGCATGAAAAATCGTAGATATGTGCATGAGATGGTCTTATACCATAAAGTGGTAACAATAAATGAACCTCTTTATTTATATAACAAAATTCAATTTAGTAACAACCCTAGATTCGTTAACTTAATTATACCCCCAATTCATAAAACGGCATTATATGAAAGATCATTTTCATACAATATTTCTAAAAAATATAATGCTTTAAGCAGTAGTTTAAAAAACATACCCGTCGGGAAATTTAAGAAGGCACTTCATAACATTGTTTTTGCTAGGCAAACGTTTGATTTGAGTTAAATTTTATAACCCATGTGACTGTAAGTTATTTATTTTTATTATTATTTTTTTTCATACATTTTGTTTTTCATAAAGTTATTTATGTACTTATTTTTTTTCCCATTACAAAGTAATTCGTTATTTTTCTGTACAATTCCCAATTAGATTGATTTCTTTTCATTATAGTAGGGTTAAGTGTAAGAGCAGAGTTGGGTCGCCGTGAGTAGCCCAACATCTGAACTTCGCCCTGTTAAATTGTGTGTGTGTCATGATTTAATAAAAGACTTTATTATTATTATTATTATTATTATGTTATGCATAAGAACGTTTCTTCCACTGAACATGAGTCTTACCAATTCTGATTGGCATACAGTAGAAAGTTTGCCTAGTGGTTGGGTGATATGGAAGTACAGACGGCGACCCAGAAGTTGTTCGCATCGCGCCGGTTGTATGCAAGGAACGAAAGTCTTTGCACATCATTAAGAAGTGCTACGGTTGCGGAAAGTCTAGTTCTAGGCCCTATAGCAGAGCATAATCGTATCACGGCGATATACAGCCAGAAGGCAGCCTTCGGGGATGGTCTCCAAAGTCTCCCAATTGCGCGGCCACTTTGCCAGAAAACTCTATTTGCAAGTACCATTCATCTCGTCCACCACATTGCCTGGCAGAATGCCTCGCGCGACTTTGTGGGCATTTTCACATTTTTTTTGTGATCCAGGATCCATTGACAAAGGGCCTTTGCTTATTTAAAACAAAGCAGATGCTTTTATCTGTTTCCAGGCGTTCCAACTAGAATCGTATACAGAATTGTGTTAGATAACTTGTAACGGCCATGTTTTCCCCATTTAGTTTTTTGATCAAATAACAATAAGTTGATTTGCCAATTATTAGTTCACCAGTAGAAGTCACAAAAGCCAACCTTGAACATTAATTCAGTAATTGCCATATGGAAGCCATTGTAATGTGTGCGTGTGTCTATTAGAGTGCCTGAAGTAGACATTTTACATTTACAAAAATGATTTATTTAGTTTTATTTATAATATTTATCTAATGTATGACTCTTGCATAGTCTTATATGTATGTATGTATGTATGACTCCTGCATAGGCTTGAGTCTTGAGTGTCGAGTCTTGAACCTTGAAATTTGAATCTTGAATCTTGAACCTGGAATCTTGAACCTTGAATCATGAATCTTGAAACTTGGTGGGTGTTCTGCACAATTCCACGGCAGCTGCATTGTCCACAGCCCCCCCCCCCCCATCTATCTGGTTTGTTGGTAATTGTATTGCGATAAATACAATAGCTCATAGTCTCTATCATGTCATAGCATAATTCATTTGGGATTTAAAAGAGAGCGGGTGGACCGATTACGAAGAAATGTTGCAGGTGGATTCTTTATCAAATTTGTACATCGGAGTTCGTGAATTTGTAAACATCTCCGTTAGTTATGAACGGAATTGTATGAAATTCAAACTGGGCATAGATTTTAACGATATAATTATGCAATGCCAAAAGTTGAGCCAAACGGATTCAAAATTCACAGTGCTTTTTTAGCGCATTTTTGCAAATTTATATGTAAAGGAGTTAATCTCACCTTGGCTGACTAGCTGACTGGCAGCAAATGCACGCTTGACGAGGAGCGTACATGTCCCTACCGTGGCAGTGTAATTAAAAACTTAGGGACGGCGACATTCCAGCGCCATCCCCGAGTGTACTTTACTAACTTGGTGATTTTGCAGTTTTTTCCTGTTCTTTTATAGTTTGCGTCCGATTGTTTTCAAACTGGTGTCTTCGGTAAGACCTTGTAAAAGGGCACAACACCTTTTTCAAGGCGCGTGTCTTCGATGGGTAGTCGACTTCGGGCCGCTGCGAATTTTGTCACGCGGTTTTTTAAAGCGTTAAGATCTTACTAATCTTACAAACGCGAATTGCGAGTGGGACCGACAAATCTGATCTGCCACACAAAAATGCGCTGAAATCCCTTCGATCGAATCGCATGAAATTCAAACTGGTCAGTACCATATCAATGTAATGTCACCGCTTTGGCACTTTTGATTATGTATCGTCAAGGCTTAACTGGTTCTAGTGTCAGCATATTCAAATGTTGTCTTTATCAAGTCCGGCCAAGGTGAAGGTCTCTGCTACTCGACTCTAACCAAGCCCCGCGGATGGCATCCATTGAATCTAATGTGGCCTTCGACTCTCAAGATGTCTGCAATAAAAGCTGGCTTTATGGTTCAGTGGTAGTGCGTTGGACTATAAATCCGGAGGTCGGGTGTTCGAACCTGGCTTCAGGTGAATTTTTCATCTGTGGCAGAGATGGGAATTACCTTAGACCAGTTTCGAGCATTCTGCCGGCTACTCTGAATTAGTTTTTCCTGCAGTTTCCCTAATTCGTAAGGTAAATACCGGAGTAGTATAGAACAACTTAAGACCTTCTGCAGAGACACCTCTAAAGGCATTATGCGGGTCACTCTGTAATTGGGCGCAAGCCTGTTGAGGGCCCAGAACAAGAGAGGGATAATAAATTAAAAAATAAATAAATAAATAAAAGAGGTCTGTAATGAGAGAGGTCGGCTTCCAGGCTTTTTATATAGACTCTGTAAGTAGAAAGAGCGACCACAACAATTTTTTTTCCAAAATAAACAGAGACCTCAAAATGTCTCCCAAAATCTATCAAAATTTGCATAAATTTTGTTCTCCACTGTGCATTTTTTACGTTTAACACACGGGGGTTTGAAGTACCGAACTGGAATCAATACGAATAAGTTTAATTGTTGTTGTTTTTAATACTTTCATGTACAGAATGTCCATTTTTCGTTGTAATTGCATAATAACCTTCGGATTTCATCTTCCCGTCCTGCTTTTAGACAAAACAAGAAGGCGTTTTTGTTATACAGAGAAATTAAAAAAAAATTGTTTAGTTCTAGCCACCCCTTCTATTCCGATTATGCCCAAACTTATTGAAAAAAACTGATAAAGTGTGTTATGTAGAGTTCAGAAACAAACAAATAAGGATCTCATAAGAATGATTTTTTTGGAGGAATGACACTTGTGACATGGAATCTGACGCTTAGAATATGTTAATTAACGTTTCTTCTCTGTTAAGTGATGTTTATAATTATAATAATAATAATGCTGTAAGATTTCCTTATAAATTATAATTTATAAGGAAATCTTGCAGCATACGCAACTAACATTTGAATATATTGTGCGACTTGGAAATGCGAACCAAGGTATCTCCACCTTGAAGAAACAGACGGAGCCCGATGTGATACGGATGTAGGTTGCTGTATAAGCAACATACATCCCTATCACATCGGGCTCCGTCTGTTTCAGCATATGCAGAGTTTACCTATTAGACGATAATTACTTTTGTCAATGACCGTACATCGTATTACTATTTAAAAAGTTGGCGTAACTTATTTAAAAAAATGGTGTACGAGTATATAATCAATGCCATACGGTAAACGGTGAGCTCTTTCGTTGTTTTTCATAAAAATAATTAAGCTTAACGATTTTGGTAACGAAAAAAGAGAAAAGGTTCTGTTTCGCATAATGGATAGGGTCCGTACCTTTCACTGCTTGGGTGTGCCCTGTCGAGATGATTAAATTTAATATACATTTCCGTATCCAGCGCAATTGCAAGCGTCTGGTTTTGTACTCGTACGTAACCTCAGGGAAACACATACGTTTACGTAAGTACAATTTATACTTGCGCCTAACAAAACTGGTTCAGAAATTACACTTGAATGCATCAATGTTTCGACATGTATTTCCTGACTCCGGATATTTTTAAAACCTGATTACATTGTGGTCAACGTGCCGTTGTTGAGTAACTTCAGGTGACAACCACGCAACGACGAGCCACCAAAAATATTGTTTAAAGTTGAGTAGGAAAATGTCATAAATTATCGTTCGGAATTACCAAAAATTGAATGCAGTCACAGTGAAAGCAACCGATGGCGTTTAACAGACAAATTTATTTGGAAGACTGTGAAAGTTAATAATGAATCACGCACCAAATGAATAAAAATGTCCTGTTTTTTCTTTTATAAATTAAAAATATCTTACGTGAATAAATGGATCTATTGTTTCAAATGCCCAGGTATTTCCTTACTGTCTTAAAAATAATATTATTAGGAATACGCGCTTAGTCAGAGTTGTAAAGTAATGGACATAATGCTATTTCTGACGTTACTATTCAAAATGGATTATTTTCTGGGGCTAATTTTCTGCAATAAATTTTCTTTGTGTTCTAAGCGAACGTTTAAAGGAAGAATTTGCCGCAAATCCACAGTACTTATTTTTTAACACAATTTATATATATTTATCAATTTTCCTTGTTTTATATCCGATTGTAATAAATTACATAAATTGGTGTTGAGCATTTATACGATCTGTGAAGTGCTAATTTTGATTGCATATGAATTTTTATTACCTTTTAATTGACTTAATATATACGTTTCATACTACATTTAATCATTCCGAAAATTTGAAATTTAAATATCAAAATTTAAATCACACCATCGTATTTAACGAGGACCGAGCAAACAATTCTGTTCTTATTACAATAAATTAAGCTGTACTTAAAATTATATACTCAAAGGATTAAGCTCTTTGGTATACGATTTAATGATAAAGGTATTGACCTCCACCAATTAATTTTATAAAGAAAGCAAAAACGATGTTTGCAAAAAACCTTTAATTAATATTACCTGAAAATAGCAGGCAATTAGCGGTCAAATAATCCCAACTTTCTCCACAAAAACTGAACTTTTTCATCGTACTGCTCAATTATGTCCATGTTGATCAATTTAATTCTATCGATGTGATCTAGTAATTGCAAATTAATTTATGGAGTGAAACGTGGTCGTGAATAGAAAACACGGAAATGTATTGAATCGAACCAGCAGGTAGGTAGTTAGGCTTCATATGTCAAGTGTCGTGTAGATAAATTGAAAAATGCGTACCGAAAGGGTGGAGTCGCGAGGAAAAGTAGTTCAGCTTCAGAGACGGCAACGAGAATAAACCCCTCTTATTAGAATCTGTTAACGAATCCCAGCACGTGGCTGATGATCTTATTCTATAAAATTCGTTTTAGGTGAGGCAGAATATAAAAGTGAATACTTATAATTATGACAGAAGTTTTTCCGTCGTGCTCTGATTAAGATGAAGTGGGTACGTAAAACGTGCATGTGTTAGTGTCACTTTAACCATTTCTGTTTTAGTTCTACCTCTTCGTGGCTATACTGCTAAATGTGAATGCAGAAAATGAAAATAAAGTTGTAAAACGTAGTTTAGTTCATTTGCTAAACGGGCCTGCCATAATTTCTCATCAGTTACCACAGTTTCACCACTGGTTACAGAATGACATCGCACCCTCCTACTTTGTATCGCCGTTTTATGGACTATCACTTGTTCATCACCGCCCAGAAATTTTTGGTGAGAATCTGTACACCCCCGATTGCACACTACCAGTCGCATATCCTGCTAACTTGAGGATTACTCCATCAGTACCACAGGCAGTTGCCCCAAAGCCGCAGGCAGTTGCCCCAAACTTGCAGACGCAGAATTCATTTACGTACAATGCAGCTCAAAGCAGACCTTCATCACCACCACAACAACCATTACTGTCTCCACCACCGATACCAGCGCCGCTTCCACCACCTTCACGAATAGGGCGCTTGGGCTCAGGGTCCTTAGGATACGTGCACTTAGGAAATGGATTGTTCGCACTAGGGTCAGGCTCCCTTGGTTACACGCCTCCAGCATCGACGCCTACACAACCCAGATTTAATTATGGAAATTTGCGACCAAAAACTGCACAATTCTGATCTTAATCGTATTAGTCGGGATTGGTTGACTCAGCAGATTTGCATAGAAAGACATGCAACCGTTATGCAAATAAGGAGCAGTTGACATCATAAAAGAGAAATTTCGTACGAGAAAGCGTTATTATTAAAATAATTTTTGTTTTATTAAGTGTTGCAACTCATCCGAATTCCTGTATGAATTCGTGATGTCATGTGATAGACTACCAAACGATCGTAGAACATTGTTCGGTTGTAGAATTGCCAACATTATTTATTTTACCGTTTAGTTAACTGGAATGCATACTCAACAATTTGAACACAAACGCCTTAACTTTGTATAATTCATGCTTTAAGGAAACTAGTTTTAAAAATATACAGAAATATGCTCTAGAAGAGCAAAGACCAAATAGTATGTAGTAACAGAGTAGCTAAGTCACATCATCACTATTGGCTAGTGCCTCCCTCAAATTGTCTGTAGTGTTGGAATTTTGACAAATTGTGTTTTTCCGCTGACCTATCGCCCTCTAGTAGTAAAATATTGTGCGGAACTTGAACAGCTGCCAGTGTAGGATGTTGTTCTCTTGGGGAAGTGATGTGTTAATGATAGTTCTATTGTTGCGAGCTAGATGCTAAAATCTTTAAAAACATGGTAGACTCTTCTGCTCCACAGCCACGATGTTTGGTTGGTGCACAGATGGGAAGCCGAAATTGATCGCTGCTGAGGAGACGATGGGTATCGTCTTTCATGTCTGCACACCAAGCCGACCGCTAGAAGAAGAATTTCTTAGCCATTTTTGCGCCTAGTATTTTCAAATGCTGATGCTTTCTCCTAGAAGTTCGAATTCCTCTTTTAAACTTTACTTTCTTTCTTCTCTAGGAATTAAGTTTAAGACCTTCTTAGAAGCTTCTTGGGGAGCTTTTCCGTAGTTTTGTTTTCGTTATTTGCTTAAAGGAATTCTCTCATGCCTTCCTTGAAGTCGTACTAGAATATAAAATAATTAATTTATACTATTTTTATGCACGGATTAGATGGCATTTATATGGTCTTGGGATCGTTTATAGCCTAATATGCCATAATGCTATAATGAACTGTCACAAATGTCAACACTCATAAATTTGAAAAGAAGGAGAATCAAATTATTTTATTTTTCATTTGCTTATTATATGTCGTTTATATCTGTCATATGTGATATATGAAGCAGTCTATTACGCCCAAGGGCATAATGAGAGGGCATAATGGGTTGTCATCTCATTATGCCCTCAAACGGCCTGTCAAATTGATTGACGGAATTATATTATGTAATAAAAAAGATGCAACTTGATTCGTATGAAGCACTTTAATGTTGGGCAAACAATAATCATGATATTTGTATATTAGAAATGCATTCTTTGGAACGATGAAAAATAAAATGTTGTATGCATCCCAAGTGCCTATGTATCAAATTTCGTTTAAATTCTTCCATAAATAAAAAAGTTGGCACTGCGCATGCGCAAAACCAAATTTTGAAATTGGCGTTTGATTTTCTTTATTCCAAGTGCCTATGTATCAAATTTCATTCAAATACTTTTATAAGTAAAAAAGTTTGCAATTCGGTTTATAAATGGTCGAGATGCGAAAAGGGCACTGTGAATTTTGAATCGATTCGACTCAACTTTTGGCATTGCGTATTATATGGCTAAATCTATGCCCATATTGAATTTCATGCAATTCAGTTCATAACTAACGGCGATCGAACATTTCTAAACAAAGTTATCGTTCACACGGACAGATAGATGGACAGACAGACAAAGGAACAGACGGACAGACCAACCGACAGGCGACAGATAGCAATGCAAAATTATAAACGATCTCTAGGATCGTTAATAAACGGCAAAAGTGTAAAATTATGCAACATGTAAAAAACGGTTTTTTGTTTTTTTTACAATAACTTTTTTTGTAAGCGGTACAGAAAAAATTCCTTCCTTGGTACAAGACTCGACACCATAACGAACCAAATAGCGGAAAAAGTAGAACAATAGCTCTTAAGATAAACAACTAGTAGCGTGGCAAAACGAGCGGACGGACGGACAAAGTGGCCACAATAGCGCATTTATTTTTTATTTTTGTGGAAATGCGCTAAAAATAGTATGGGAGCCACCTCAGCCAGACATGAATAACGAGTCAGACGCGTGCAGGTGAAGTTCGCGGACTCTTGTGTGAAATGTGTTCGGGATTCGAAGGCGCCACATGGGGTAAGCGCGAAAATGTTTGTCAACGGAAACAAGTCTGTCTTACCCCGAAGACGTATCAGACAAGTGTTCGCGAACCTCACCTGCACGCACGTCTGTGCGTCATGTGACTGTCTTGAGTCAAAACTGGCTAATAAAACACTGATCTGCCACACAAAAATTCGCTGAAGTCCCTTCGATTTCACACGAGGACTTTGATAATAAACGCAGAAAAAAGTAGAACAAGATCTTATGGTAAAATCTAGAAACGACACAGCCGTAGAGACGGACGAACGGATAGACAGATGGGTGGACATAATGGCCCCAATAGTGCATTTTTTTAAATTTTTGTGGAAATTGTCTAAACAGAACTGCAGAAAATCTGGAATTGACAGGACCTGATAACGGAGTGTCGGTTGAAATATCTAAGGGAATGTCGGAATAATGTAATAAATACGATGTTCAAATGTGGAAACGAGTAGACAGAGAGAAGAAAGAAAATTCAGACTACCTTGAGAGAAAGAGGAGAATGTAGGGCGTCTTATATGGAAATGTAAAATAACTTAATATTAGCTTGGAAATTTGATAAGATATACCACCCTGTATAGAGGAATTGTTCTAGCATAAATTACTCAATCAACTTTTATTACATGGCAGCTTGGCAACATTGTTTACTTATAACTGAAAACTAAAATTCACACTTTGGCTGTTCGGTCGACCGGTTGGCTGAAATGTCGGAGGAATCATTGTAGAATTTTCGGGTTTATGCAGATTTCACGTGTCGCACAAAGACGCGCTTAAGTATTCCGACGCATCGAGTACTTTTCAACTTGTTTCTTCCTTCCCTCGAATATTTGAGTAACTGCTCTCCCATATTTCTTTACTTCCGCGTGCGCTCTCTATCTTCACCCTCTGTTGTTGTATTTGTGCATCCAGATCTTTTTTCGACCTTACCTTTCCGTATCCAGTTTTCTTTTTATCCTCTTTCACCTGTATTTGCCCTCTTTTTTTCTCCATTATTTTTTTTTATATCTATGTCTCTGTTCTGTACAGCCTGTCTCACCACTCCTTTCTTTGTTATTTTGTACACCACAACTACAATACATTTTACATTGATTCGTTTAAATTTGAACTGCTACTGCGTGTGGTTAACTGGTCTAATTTAGTTGTTACAATTACAATACTTCAAAAGTCCATGGTCGGTCGGGCAACTAATCTTTGCAGTAACTTATTTCCTACTGGCGCGCAATTTCACCCCTTTCGGAGCAGTGTTTGCATCGTGTGCGATCTTATTCTTATGAGAGCTTGATTTGTTGAAAATTAATTGGGACATTTGTTCATGATAGTAGCCCAAACTCTATGACAAATTCATACTCGTAGAATGCATTCACAAACTGAAATAACAACATCATAAGATCAAAATCCTTTAAATAACAATGCGATACCATCAATAATAAACCAGTACTTACTGCAAATAATGCAGAATGGAATATTCCCTATCACTTAACCCCAATTCATTAGATACCGAGGTGCTTCGACTTCGGCTATCCCGAATTGAAGAAAAAGACCTTGATCGACGGATAAGCGAACGGTAACCCTCAACCCATCGACATATCTTTTCGCCTTGCAAATCCTTCTCCAGTTTTTCTAACCTGTGCAGTAGGTGTTTCCTAGAAACTTTCTCTTCCCTATCCTTGAGTTTTCCCATCACTAAGAAAGGTAAAATCTAAAAGGAATTTATTAGAAAACTTAGAAATATTGAGTTAAAACAAATAAACGCTGGCACAAGTGTCGAGGCAGACGCACGGCGGGGATCGGTGAAGGGTAGGGGAATTCGATTCTTAAAAGAAGTGCAGGGTATCACCTAAACGTCGAAACTATATTGTTATTGAATGATATCTGAAGGACCGTAAAACGAGGTGCAATGGAACAATAGATACTGCATTTAACAAAATAAATCGTAAGCATGCTCTTTGGTGGGCCAGATTGAAATGGACCCGCTCTGCAAGATTCATGTAGAAGTAGACATAGGGATTTCTTATGGGAATTTCCTATGTCTACTTTTACATGATAAAAAGTTTCTTGAAAGACGCCTAATTTTATTCAACCAAAGTAACTACCTACAACAAATGAGGACTGCCTGTCATATTAATTAGTTTGAATATTATGGCTTTGACTTCCCTATTCTAATTTCAGTTCGTGTGCGATATATCCAACTAAAGAAAAAGTTGATATTTTCAATTGGTGCCGATAACAGTTAAAGGAACTTAGCAGATTTATTTTCTGTGAAGCTAAAGCAATCATATTCAAATTAATAATTAACATGATCAGATCTTTATTTGTTTCAAGAAGTTATTTTGGTTGCATAAAATTTGGCGTCTTTCAGACTTTTTATCATGTAAAAGTAGACATAGGAAATTCCTATAGGAAATCCCTATGTCTACTTCTACATGAAAATCACTGTAGAATACACACAAAAGTGAGTCTGAATGAGTAATTCCTGGTTGTAAAAACCAAATTTATAGTAAGGAAGGTGAGGAACAAGGGACTCTGTCGATGCGTGTTTATGGCCTTGCTACTAATGCCTTATCCAATACTTGAAAGAAAAATCAAACGCAGCTTAGATTTGGTACGCTGATGATTCCTCTTGCCAAGGACAACTGGGATGCTTTAAAGATTTATGGACCAAAATATGGATATTTTCCTCAGACACAAAAGACTTCCCTAGTCGTCCATCCTGATGATTACACAATGGCCCAAGAGGAATTCAAAGACTCTGACATTAAGATAGTTGATGGTATGAGAATCTTAGGAGCATATATAGGTACATACTTTATCTGTAAAAACGAAATTTATTCAAACGAAAGTTGGTCATTGGGCCGAACGTGTTAAATTGTCCATTGTGTCATTACTAAGTCAATGCAGGCCGAATGGAAATTTATACAACGAATAAAATCTGAAATTGATATGCTATTTGACCCCTTAAATTTGGCAATCCAAAAATCTTTTTTCCATCCCTTTTTGGAGATGAAGTGAGTAAAGATGAATCTAATTTTTTATATCTACCAATACAAAATGGAGGACTTAGTAGAACTAATCCTGTAGCTGATGCTCCTCTCATTTTGCTAATGAAACGTCCCTATCCGGATGCAGGATACTTTTAGAATCATTATCTACACGTTTTGGTTTTAATTTAAACACACATGAAGCTACATACACCATTCTCGAAGAATTGACCATGAAAAGATTTCTACTCATGAAAATTCTAGAACATCTACCGACGTTGATGTATGATCTCAAGAGCAACTGTTAAAAAGATGAATACCGCTACATGGTTATCTTGCATTCCTCTGTTTAATAATAAGAATCAAACAATCAAATTAGAGATTCTATAGGAAACCTTATAGAATTAACTTGGGGAAACTGTTTACGAGAACCATTAACTCAAGATAACAATAATGATAACACCCCGAGTCTGCTTTACGTGCTGATCTAGGATTATCGTAGTACATGGGAGCCACACATACGATGGGGCAGTTGTTGACACAAATGCCCCATCGTATGGATTCTTCTCCTTTGAATCGGTGATAAAACGTGCAGAAGTTGAAAAGAAAAAGAAATACCTAGAAACTTGTCAGCGACGCCATGCTTCCTTCAGTCCATTGGTAAATTCTGTTGATGGATTCCTTGGATATGAGTTTAGAACGCTCTTGAGCGGATTGAGTGTACATTTCTGCACCCATATATGGGTAGGTAAAGTATTCTTTTCATCAGAGTTGTCGTTGTTGTAGTTGTTGTCCGGTTTGTTAGCGTATATGTCTCGTCCACACGATTTATTTTGACATCGCCAATGGATACATTTCATCCAAACGTCCCGATCTCCCTTTGTAAGTAAGTACCCTTCCGACAAGAGCATCTCGGAAAATAATGAATGGGGGTGAATTTTTTTTATTCTTAAAAGAAGCGCTAAAAATAACAGTTGAGGGGTGACATCGTCCCTGATTTGATCAAACTTTATAATTTTTTAAGAAAGAGCACTATTAAATCATTCATATACTTACATACGCCCTGGTCAAGTATTCAATAACATTAATATTTATTTATTTAGTTCTTTGTTTACTACTTTCGTGTCATTTACTTTTACGTGTTTCTTATAACGGAGTTTCAATATTAAACTATTGTACTTGTGCATTAATTATCTTTACTACTCTACTTTACCTAATTCTTTTTTCTAAAATTTAATAAACCGTTTGTAATTAATATTATTCCATTTTAGCTGCATTGTTTGTCTAGCTTTTATTTATTTTAGTCTCCTCGTAATTGTGTATTATTCTTATTAGATTTCTCCATTATAGTCCAGTATAGTGTCAAAATATACTTATGCTATACAGACAAATAAGGAAAGATTGATTAAAAAAAGCGCAAAGACACACACGCAGAAATACCGCCTAATTAGGAATGTCCCGACGTGCGAAACACTTCACTAAAGATGTAACGTAACGATTTCTATTAAACTACCTATCTGAACATTGCGCATTTTTGGGGGCAGAACTTAAAAATACCCCTTACGAAAAATCCTTCGCATCCAATTTAACATTCAATTATATGTTTGTTTCCGTTTTAATCGAGTGTATTTAATTAAAACATGTTTTGTATCCGTTAAAAATTTGTTTATATAATAAAACTATTATATACAAAAAGTCCTGTTTGAGTAAAAAAGAAAAAAATTTGCTTTGCACCCTGTGACAAGGAGCGAAGATTTCACTTCGACTTTAAAACACTACACATATGATAGATGCCAATTACTGGGCGCCCTGAAGAATAAATTAATAAGGTTACCTACAGATCTGTTTAATTTCTACATCGGAAGTGTTTTTCTACTATTCACTTCACATATATAAGTATAGTGAAATTACTTTCATTAGTTACTGCAACGGTAACAGTTTTATCTTAACACAATTCCAACGTAGGTTATTATTAATTGCATTAACCCAGGGAGGATAATTGTACTTTCTCCAAAAGAACAACGCTTGATATTCTCTAAAACATTGGCTTGTATTACCATCTCGATTGCAGTTACCAATACGCATCAAAATATGATATTTTCCTTTCTTTGTAACCTACGACAATCGAAAATTACGTGCGGTTTTTCGTTGGTTGCCATTTCGTAATTTATCCGATCCGTAGAAGTGAAGGTTGTTCCACTCCAATTGCTTCGAAGGGGATACATCAAAATTTGCGTAAATTTTATCACTTGAATAAGACATGGAAGTACGTGCCTTATACTGAAAATTGTACTGAAACCTAAAAGGTGTATAAGTTCTTGCGGTAATTAGCTACATCTTTTCACAAACAGTTCCTTGTTTACAACGCTACTGTGAACCCTCACTTTTATTTATAATGCTGCATAATATGTAGCTATTCGCATAATGTATTACGCAATTATTCCGGAACTATTATTATTTTAAATCCTAATTTATTAAAAATGCAAAACTTGGTCTGGTTTTCATCCAAACTTATCTTCTCTTCCTTCAGTTAATGTGCAACGCACGATTGCGGCAGAAACCTATCCACTAAAGTTGATTAGGTATCGACTTTTAAGAAACATTTCGTTCGTTTACAATACGCAAGGCGATAATTAGTGCAAGCTACCTTCGTACATGAAATGCATCCATTTATGCGTTACATAAGTATGTCAATATCACTCTGAATAACATGTTGCATAAGATTCACAATTGAATTGCCATAATTTGCAAAGAATTTGTAAACTGGGACATGATTCGAATCAGCATCATAAGAATTTAGTGAGATATTTTTAATCGAGGATGGCGAATTTAATTAAGCAACCTAAACAAAGGCGAGCTACTCGCTCATTCACTAATTAATGTATGTTATAGTATCGTGTCACCATTCTTCCGGGCATATGTCTTAACGCTTGCATAATCTGAAAGTAGTGCATTCATCTTTTGGGTGGTTATCGGTATAGAAAGGTGCTCTGGTAGGCACAAGAAGCATCCGCCCCTCCGTATCAGCACTATATGATTCCACTTACTATAAAAGTAGCATGAGATTTTAGCAAGGTATCAGTCTTCTGCTAACAAGTTTAAGAAAGGCATGATGAAGACATCGGTTCGTAAAATAAATAAGGGTGAATTTTAAAAATGTGATTTAAATATTTTACGTTACAGATATTAATCCTCACCCTCGCACTTTCCGCTTGTCATACCAAGGAAACGGCAGAGAAGAAGACCACAAAGCGTGGTGTCTTTGGTGAAGGCCTTGCCTTAGGTGGACATGGTGGATTGTCGCTTGACGGTGGACATGGATTAGGGGGTGGAATTCTCCTTGGTGGCGGACATGGTTTGAGTGGACACGGTCTTGGCGGTGGATTAGGAGGTGGACACGGTCTTGGCGGTGGATTAGGAGGTGGATACGGTCTTGGCGGTGGATTTGGAGGTGGATTGGGTGGAGGATTATCAGGTGGAATTCCACTTGGACAGCATGTCAGCAACCACATCACCGTTACCAAGCAAATCGGAATTCCAGTACCACAACCGTACCCAGTTACCGTACATAAACATATTCCGGTTCCAGTACCTCACCCTGTAGCTGTACCCGTCGACAAACCGTACCCAGTACACGTACCCAAACCATACCCAGTACCAATCGAGAAACCTGTTCCTTATCCAGTAGAGAAACCTGTTCCGTATCCAGTCAAAGTACCAGTTAAGGTTCCAGTACCTCATCCAGTCGCTGTGCCGATCCCCAAGCCATACCCAGTGGCGGTACACAAGCCAGTGCCCGTAGCAGTTCATGAACCTGTTATTATCAAGAAGCCATACCCAGTCCTCATTAAAGCCGATCATGGATTAGATGCCGGCATTGGATTAGGAGGTTTAGGCCATGGAATTAGTCTCGGCGCTGGTGGTTTTGGTGGTCATGATTTTGGAGGACATGGTGCAGCACTTGGTGGCCATGGCTGGTAGACTGTGATTCTGTTTCATCTCATATAGTTGTCATTATTATTACCATTTCATTGTATTATATGAAAACATTTTTGTTGTATATAAATAAATTGTTTAGTACCGTATGTTACATGTTTCTTTATACCCCCCTCACAATGCATGCTACTGTATACGTATCGTTTCATGTTTGTTCTTAGCAATTAAATATCACCTTTAAATACCACGGTAAGTAGAAGCTACACAAGAAACTGACGATATAAACAATTTGAATTTAGTTGAAACGTGATTTTTGTGAACTTAGGTTAATTAATTAAAGATAGTAGTACGAGCAGTTTTTTCGGCCTTTGGTGGGATATTGTTTGTTCCATCAGTAATTTTATTGTGTATTTTATATTATGTTTGTATGTAGAAGGGGACATGTCGTAAACCAGATGGTATAGCATGACGAATAAATATTATTATTATTATTATTATTAGCTGAAAATTGGTAGGGTGTGTTCTTTGGCCTACTCACAACCTACCAATTTTCAGCTATATTCACCGCCGTTGCACGTTTGTTTATCCTGATCCTTTAACAGTGTTCTTATGAAACAGAAGTTGCGTTTTTTAACAGAGGTCAAAGGACGTAATGGACGACACATAACTATGTATTGAACTATAGATTTCACAGGAACCAAATTTAAGACGCTCCTTCCATGGCTGAAGGTATAAAAATTACTTTATTACAGAATATACAGTCAGTCGCTTCTGTTCTTACAGAACACTAGGAAAATTCATTGTTACTGTATAAGAATTCCATTATCCAATCAATTTTTAACTTTCGCTTAAAGATCTAGTTATAACCGTGCAGTAGAGTCTTCCGCTATTGTAAACTAGTACGAGGGCGTTTTCTTTAATTATGAAGAATACTGCAAAGCTTCAAAATAATGTATTTCTATGCGTAACTTCCATCTACACTGTACGTGTTAATATAATCAAGGTAGCGTAATTTTTCTCACCTCTGTTGAGAAACATTCATTTTTCGGTCGATCTATGACCAGTTGACCGTCTATTAATTTTGGAGAGACTGGCTTTAGTAGTTTTCCTATTGTACCTGAAACGCGTTGAAAGGGTTTTTATCAGGCATCAGAACCTTTGGCCTTTTCCATGGCGTTTTGGAGGTTTCTCACGGGTACTTGGTATCTTTTTTTAGCGTATTTTCCTCAAAGTGAAAAATCGCTATTGGCTGCACTTTGACGTCCGTCCGTCCATCACAAGCACTCCTTCTAAACCACTGAACCGATTTGGCGATATAGGACTCATTTGAAAGGGCTTGGTCCAAGGATTCCGTGTATACCCATATTTTTTGGTTTTGCGCATGCGCAGTGTCAAAAATTTAGTTTAACGCATGTGCAATGGTAACTTTTATTTATGAAGATATTTAAATGAAACTTTATATGTAAACACTACAGGTATTTTTTCCTGGTCCTAGCATTAATGTTATTAGGAGGAAAATACGCTCTCGTCATTTATGTTCGCATAATGTCTTTTTAAACTTGTTTCAGAGTTTGAGACCCTTCTCAAAACTTTCAGCTTTCCACAACTTTCCAGTACCTCTTTATACAGGGTCGCTGATAAGGCTGGAAACGGTGGAGTATCGAGGAAAATATACAATACATAAAAAAAGTTTGGGGGTTCTTCATTATCTACTACGTAGTAATAATTTTATTTATAAAGGATTGGTTATAGAGACGTGGCGCACCAAAATTGCATTTTTAATAAACACCCTGTATATTATTGGATATTTCAATTCTCCTAATTTTAAGCAACATTTGTAAGAAACATAATGTAACCTCAATTCAATCGTTTCCAGGTTATATATGTGTTGAAAATAAACGATATTATTTTAAAATTTATTACCAAAAAAAGTACAAAAACTCAATGATCCCTTAATTATTAATAATTTTTCTGTTTGGATTAAGATAGATGAGATCAATAAGATCCAAGATGATTCATAACCCTCACACGTTTCTGCAGACTGTAAATGAAATATGTTCTGGTTTAGGAAATACCTAAAGAACTTGAAATTTTATAATTTATTACATACCGCTACACGAACATAAATAAGTGCACAGCAATTCGTGCTTATCGAATTGTACAACAAAACGTACATTATTAATAGACTTGTTATTTAGTTATTATTATGTAAATATACTTTTTGGAAATTTAATGAATAGTCAGAATGCAGGGAAAGTTCAATTGCATACAATGTCGTTATTAAATTGAAACATTTTGGTATATAAATCAAAGTTGTTGTAAGCGAAGGTACAGTTTCATCTGTCTCTTCAAACAGCCGCTATGAAGTTTTTGGTAGGTACGCAAAACCGTTTAAAATGTAGCTGATATCTTTTTTGCAGTGTTTGGCTACTCTTATGATTGCGACAGTCTTCGCAGAAGAGGTCGCGGAATCCAAGGGGGTGCACAAACGCGGCTTGGGTGATTTCGGCGGTGGTAGCTCCTACGGCCACGGAGGAGGTTTTGATGTGCAAGGTGGAGGTGGAGGTGGATTTGGCGGACAGGATGGCAACACTGTTGTGAGCCACATTACTTTATCAAGACAAGTACCGTATCCGGTGCCTCATCCCGTTCCAGTTCCGGTCGAAAATAGGGTTCCATACACCGTGAACTTTCCCGTGCCTGTTAAGGTCGATAAACCATACACAGTTCATGTTCCTAAACCTTACCCCGTGCACGTAGATAAACCAATTCCATACGAAGTTGTTAAAAACATCCCAGTTCCAGTAAGCGTCCCAGTCAAAATTCCATTTCCGGTACCAGTAAAAGTTCCAATTCCACAACCATACCCGGTTCATGTTCCTAAATCATTTCCCGTTCATATTCATACTCCAGTAATCATTAAGAAACCCGTACCATATGTCATTAACGCGGGGACTGATCACGGTGCTTCTGGGACATTTGGAGGTGGACACAGCAATTTTGTCAACCACGACTACTCTTCAAGCGGATACGGTCATCATTAGAAGCACATCAACCGTTTTCTTTGTATTTTTTCACATATGTTCTGTGATGCTTAGATTCTGTTGTACGGTAGGAGTTTGTCTTTACAGCGATTTGCGATTTATTTTTGTAAAGTATACTATTAACAACATCTCTTTTTATTTGCAACTTATTTAGAGACGCGTGACTATATTGAGCAAAGTTTAATGATAATATGAAGGGAATTTGAGTACCTGACACATGGGGTAGAAGATAACATTCAGGGAACAACAAACGAACCAAGTTTAAAAGGATTTAGAAAAAAGAAACGAACGAACATGGAGACAATTTTAGAGAAAAAAGCTGCAGAGCAATTTGAAAAGAACTTAAGAAAGAAAATAAATTGAGAGGAACTTGGGAAGAATGTAATAAGAGCTCGAGACGAAATAGAAGAAATAAAAATGGGGGATTTTAATGAGCAGTTGTCATAAAAATTGTAATTTCAATATTTGGGCGTTTTACCACCCGCACGTTATAAG